TTCATGGTAGCTTCCATTCTTATTTTTCTTGACTATTCTTCTGAAATTGTTCTGATGACAGAGATTACAGTTGCATTTGTTAGGGTAAAGTTTAAGCAGTTATAATAAAAGTATCCAAAGGAGATTGGCTCAAATTGAGAAGGGACGTTAAATTTTTTGTGGTAGTACGTAGGTTCTGATCCTCAGGGTCATGTAGGAATTCAGGCCAGAGTGGAGTTTCTTTGTCATCCTCAACATGAGCCTTTTAACAGTGTGGATTAGTCAAAAGGACAAGGAGAAGTGAATCTAGATTATTTTTAAGTAGATGAGCTGAAAGTTGCCAACAGCATTTTTCCTCTTGTCTCTTTGGTGAGAACCTAGTCCTAGAACCAAACTAAGTCAACATTTAGTCTTTAGGTTGGTGGCCCTGTGTCCAGAAGGAGAAAAAGAACAGACTGGGCTGGGCGCGGTTGGCTCACACCTGTAATCCCAGCACTTTGGAAGGCCGAGGGGGGTGGATCACGGGGTCAGGAGGTCGAGATCATCCTGGCTAACACAGTGAAAACCAGTCTTTACTAAAAATACAAAAAGAAATTAGCCTGGTGTGGCGGCAGGCACCTGTAGCCCCAGCTACTCGGGAGGCTGAGGCAGGAGAATGGCGTGAACCCGGGAGGTGGAGCTTGCAGTGAGCTGAGATGGCACCACTGCACTCCAGCCTGGGCCACAGAGCAAGACTCAGTCTCAAAAAAACAAACAAACAAAAAAACAGATTAGTGGTGCCAGAGGGAGTGGAGAACAACCTGCGGCTGCCACAAGTTCTTGTTAGTCTTTCCTTTTTCTCTAACATGTTTCTTTTACATTGAGTGGAAAACATACGTTCAAAAACAACTGGAAAAAAAAAAAACCAAAAAAACAAACGAACAACAATAACAACAACAAAAGAAAAACAGAAAAGGACAAACTTAATTTTGGCAATGTGTCTCTGTAAAAAGATCAGCCCTTATGCTCCTGGTTATCACTCACTATCTCACTATTCAATATTTGTCTTGTTTGCTGCAACAGAATAATAATAAATAAAATTATCTTCAAATATGGCAGTAGCTTTTCATCCTGTAAAATGTTACACGATTAAAACTTTGGAGATTTTTTTCAATACATTCTAGGCCATTAACCAGTTGTACAACTCTGATAAAATTTCTGAATCTTACTCTTCTCAGATATAAAAGGAAGCTATGGAAGATTATGTTATCTGAGGTCCCTTCCAGATTGAAAAGATTTCATACCATGTTGGAAATAGAGAAGTTTAGGAGAAATTCTCATCCTCCAAACATAGGAGGACTTTCTCCAACAAATAGGAATTCATCCTATAACTAAGTTCACAGGTGGCTGAGTTATAGGATTATGAGTTATGGCAGTGGCTTTTCATCCTGTAAAATGTTACACGATTAAAAATTTGGAGATTTTTTTTCAATACATTCTAGGCCATTAACCAGTTGTACAACTCTGATAAAATTTCTGCACCTTACTCTTTTCAGATATAAAAGGAAGCTATGAAAGAGTATGTTATCTGAGGTCCCTTCCAGATTGAAAAGATTTCATACCATGTTGGAAATACAGAAGTTTAGGAGAAATTCTCATCCTCCAAACATAGGAGGACTTTCTCCAACAAATAAGAATTCATCCTATAACTCAGTTCACAGGTCTTTGAGATAAGACTTGGCTGCATAGGACTTTGGAGCAAACCATCACTAGGAAAGAAAACTATCCATTGTAGGCATTGTTGATCGGAGGATGGGGATCCTTCTGACCTGCACAAGTAATCAATGGATGCCTGAAAGCGTGAGATTTGAAAATGCTTAACATTATCTTGGCTACATAATTATAATGTTATTAATGGCCACAAAGTTTCTTAGCCTTTAAAAAAAAATCCAGTAAAAGCATTTGATTTCATGACCTCCCAGGGCTGAATCACACATATTAATGATCCATGGCATGCAATACAAGATTTTACCTTTTTATTTGTTCCAGAATTATTGCCCTTTGATTTTTAATATATATCCTTTTGGTCTTGTATTAAAGGACAAGTTAAAGGAGTATTAACTCTGTCAGGATAACTCTGCAGAATTAGTGTGGTCTTTTTAGCTTTATTAATATCTAAGCTGAAGTGGCTGCTTTGTACTTTCAAGGTTGCTTTTGAAGGATCTATTCCTCAGTGGAACATCCTGCTTCCTGCTTTTTTTAAATTATTATTATTATTTTTTTATTACAGCAGTTGGCCGGAAAGCCCCTGTTGATCTGGACTACTTGGAACTGCTAGACTGAAATGCCATTTTCAAAACTCCAGCTCTTCTGCTAAACAATTTTTCTAGGAATGATGCCATATCACTAGCTACTTGTATTTGCCAAAAGGCAATACTACTTCAATGGCCCTAGTTCTGGGAATGATACCAAATGATGGTTCAGGAGGGAGGCAGGCAGTAAATCAGCAGGAAAAGCTGAAAAATGCCCCAGTTTTTAATACCTTTTATCTTTTTCCAGATGACTGGCCTATCTCTCTCACCTTCTGCTTCTATTCATGATAGTACCCTTTTCTCCCCTTTTTTGTGACTTGATACTAGTATTTTCATTTGAAACAGCCTTCCACAATTATCAGAGAGAAAATTCACACCTTTCAAAGCTAAGGCAATCAAATTTCCACATGACTCGTAAGTATATGTTCTTTCTCTAGCACCTATGTGCAACTGCGGGATGCCTGATAGATTAGGATTGTATGTTGAATGGGAAATCGATCTGAACAAAGTGTCAGACAGTAGAATGGGAGCCAGGGGAAGGTTCCAAAGCAGCAGCAGAAGGTATCTCTAGCAAGCATCCACTGTGGCTGGCGGCTGCCTTCTGGTTCCAGCCTTACTGGAAGCTCAGGCAGTGGAGTTGTGAATTCCTTGGGCCAGGCAAGCCTAGATGTGTTGCTTGCTTTTGATAATGCATCAAAAATATGAACTCATCCTTGGAGATGACAGCTATGAGGTGTTTCTTGGATGTAGAAATTTAGGTCATCTGTCTTCCTTTTGCATTGCCTTAAAAAATACTATTTCCTTTCTTGGTTTAACATTTGTCTGCTTGCTCGCTCTTTCTTCCTTCCTTTTCTTTTCTTTTCTTTTCTTTCTTTCTTTTTCTTTTCTTTCTTCTTTCTTTCTTTCTTTCTTTCTTTCTTTCTTTCTTTCTTTCTTTCTTTCTTTCTTTCTTTCTCTCTCTCTCTCTCTCTCTCTTTCTTTCTTTCTTTCTTTCTTTCTTTCTTTCTTTCTCTCTCTCTCTCTCTCTCTCTCTCCTTCCTTCCTTCCTTCCTTC